GCAAGTCCCCACAGGCCAAAGAAAAGGCCAGGGGAAAGAAAGGGGGAGGGTGGGATTAAATGGATGCATGATCTTGGCATAAGGGAATGCCCTTCCCCTAGAAAGGAGCGCATAGTCTAGGTCTCTTTGTTAATAAGACTAACCGTTTACACCCTTTATTTTTACACTGCCTACATAAAAATAAACATAAATAAAAATGATCGTTTCTAACGTGCAGCCTGGGCTTGTTTTTCCTACAGGCCACTTAAATTAGAAAAACACATAGTGTTTGTTTTTCTTTTGATTAAAAGAACTCTTCACCCTTTGTAGGACAACTGAGGTTCTGTGGTTCCAGTTTGATAAACTGTATGTGTAATAGTATCATTGCATTTGTAACTACAGAACTAGTTTTATGCTCTCCCATAATCAGACTTTTTAAAGCTCCTAAGTGTTCCCCGGGGGGGTGGAATTCAACTGATGCTCCTTTCCCCAATAACAGGGATTAATATATACCCCTCTATCAATTTCCCTAATGATGGAAGTCTTTCTTTAATAAGTCTTGTGTGAGAGGCATAATGTATAGTATTGTTCTTAGTGTGTGTATTTCAATTGTTAGGGCAAGAAGACAGTAACTGTTTTTGGACCACCCAAGTCTTACAAAATTTAAAAAAAAGGTCCATAAAGTGTAAAAGTACAATACACACCATGTTAGCAGATGAGTTATCTGAGGAGATCTCAGCAAGATTTCATGCTTTCATCTGTTTGGGTTTTTTTTCTGATGAGTCTTGAGGCATCATTTAGAGATTGAAGTAGTGCTGGACAAAAAGCTGTGCTCTTATCATAGCTACACTTAGGTTACTTTTTTTTTTGTAGCGAATGATGTAACGGATACTCCATCATACTTCTAGGTTGGCATATATGGACACAGGCACTATCTCTAATTAACTAACTTTAATGCTTTTCTTCTTGTTGGCATATATGGACACAGGCACTATCTCTAACTAACTTTAATGCTTTTCTTCTTAGAATTATTTTAATGCCTTTTTTTGAGGGTTTACGAGGTATGTTAGAATGTGTGTTTGTTTACAGTACTTTGAGGGCTGTTGTTTTTTGCCCCCTTAAAAACAAATAGGTGTGAGAAGGGAATCAATGATGGTTGAAACTAGGTAGGAATCTTAAGATACAAATTCAGCCCTCTGGTACACACACAGAATACTAAAATGAGTAGAATAAATACCAATCCTTTGGCCTCACTTAGCCTATGTTGAAAAATATTCGTAAGCAATGCCCCACGACAATACATTGAGGAACAAAATATTCATGATTAAAGTTGTGATGGTAGTAAACACTTTTTTTAACTTGAGTTCATATATAAAATAAGAAATCTTGCAAAGAAAAAGTGAGTCAAGTGTTTGTCAGTGTCTCTTGGAAGAAGTGGATTGTGGTTGGGAGCAACAATGAGGAGGAGTTAGTCTAAACATACTCTTTCTTACCCCTTCCCCCACCAGCCCCTTTTTACAAGCAAGCCTGCAGATAGAGCTGTAAGGGAAATAGCATTTTTAATTGTCACTAGATACTACTGCAGCAACATAAACTTTCTCACTGCAGAAAATGTTTTTAATAAAATAAAATCCTCAATCTCATTAGCTAATTTGCTGAGTTAATAAACCATCTCCTGCACTCCAGATTTTTGCCGCCTCCTGCTGGTTTTCCTATACTTTATATTCTTGAAGTGAAGTTGTTTCTGCTTCTACTTCCTGACCCACCAATAGATGTATCAGGATGGCACAAAGCTGCATCCTTCTGTTGTGGTCTGTTCGCATTCTCTTGGAAAGTGTAGTGGAGAACGCCATCTCTGGAGATGCACCATACTGTTGTGTCATCCACCCGCGAGATAACTGCTAGAGGAGTTTTATTCTACTCGAGATTTGGACTTCCCAAGGGCTTTAGTATTAATTTTGGTTACTTAATGCTGAAATACTTATTTCCCATTTGCCCTCCTGGGGGAGGTGGGGCTGTCAAGAAGAATGCTTTATACCTTTTAAGGTCACTCACGGAATCCATTTCTGTGCATATCCTTACAGCTTTCCTCTAGTTGCCCTATATGAAAACAGGCTTTCCTAAATTGAAATTGTTAAATGTTGTGATGACTTATATAAAATTTTCCATTTATTCCACGCCATCTGTCCTCACATTCCCTGATTTTTTTTTTGTTTGTTTATTATTTATTTTTAAGATTTCCAGTCCTTTATTTTAGAAATTTGGTTCTCCCTGTTTTGTGTTCCTGTTCCTACTCTCAAAGCTTAGTCTTAAGCAGATGATGCTACTTTGTATGCTGGAAACCAATATACTTCTAAATTGCCATGCCGCCCCACAATGCCCTTATTAAGTCTTGTATGCTTCCAGATTTTCAGTTTATTCTCAGTACTTGCAGTTCTGTACAGAACAGTACCATCCACGTATGCCTAACTTCTAATGCTAAACTGAAATTTAGGAAGTGTCAGCTTGCTGCTGTGCTTTCTCTGTTCTGGAACCAGTGGGAGAGTGCCTGCCGGTCATCTTCAGGTAGCCCTGTTTTCTAAGTGGTATCGGCAGAGGAGTGCAGCTTGGGCAGGGGGAGACTTGTTAGATTTGAGATGTAGCTCATGGTCTTTCTCTTCATTACTGGTTTACAACTCCGCTCTGCTAACACGCTTTGGTTAACACATTCACTGGTGTTTCCAGCCACTGTCTGTAATAAGAAGGGGTCTTGGAGACAATGTTGCCCTTGAGATACAACACGGACTTGTGGCAGGGAATGCTGCTCACTTGGATACTTGGGGCAGAAAGGACAAGAAGCAGGTCTCATAAAGGTAGATCGTGGTCCTGCATAGATGGAGGGATCCCTGTACTGTAGCTATGGACACCCTGTGTTGAGGAGAGGATTCCTTCCTTCGAGCTGCCTGTGTGCATCCCATCCTTCCTTTGTCATCCTCACTTTTCCTTTTGGCAGTATGAAGATGCCACCTGAACAGAAACAGTTGTCTGATTCTTGCTGGAGAAACAGGGCTGCTTTGAAAAGGCGTGTTCTGGTGGGAGCTGCCTGTCAGTCACATGAGGGTGGCACCTCAGTAGGGGAATGTCACCACATCCATGATCTTCTGCAGGCACAAATTATAGGACTCTGAAAGGAAGTTTTTTCACTTTAATGGTTGAATATTCAATACCTGATAATATCCACTTATTTGCAGGTGTCTGTCTGGGGTTTGTCTGGGGTTTTTTTGGAAGGAAAAAATGAGAATGTACTCATGTTTAGACATTTCTTGCTCACAACTCGAAATTGTGATGCATTCTTTAGTGGTCCTGTTTTCCCCTCATCTCTTAGTTAAAGAGTGTAGTACAGGGTAGCGGTCATTTACTTGTGATAAGTACTGAGTGGACGAGAGAGATGTAATGCCTGTTACATGTTTGCATTACTCTTCATGAAATATTGCCTTCTTAATGACTAAAAATGGCATGCTTTTTTGTTCTAAAGTAGAATGTTATATTAAGGAATTTGTGCTTATGTACCAAAACCCTTTCAGAGTTTTGTACTGCTTATGCCTTGAAACTGGTGCTTTATGAATGTATGTACATTTCTTACTTGTTACAGAGTTTATGATGCATTTAGGTTATCTGTCTTACACATCTCATTTTGGAAGATGCATAAGTTCTTTTAGTTTTTCTAATTAACTGGTTTTCAAGTTCACAGTCATAATGGGTCTAAAGATTGCAAAAGACGATAGCAAATACGAAACACTGCCAAACTAAAGAGGGAAGAGCAACAAAACATAGTACATAATTAGAAAGCACTAAATTGTTCTTTTTTCCAGAGCATTGATTTGCTTTGTTATGTTTCCTTCAACAAGATGTACAACCTAAATATGAAGTGTGGAAACTTAAAATGGTGTGAAAAGTTAATTATTTCACTGAAATAAAAACCAAAAAATCTGCCCTTCTCCAAGAAGGATGCAAGAGAAGTTCCTCTGAGGGTGATTCCTCAAGGAATTCATACTGATACAAGTTTGAGTGCTCCAATTGTTGAGAAATGCCTTAGCAGGATGAACTGTTGTAAACAAATAGATTGTAAGAGGCTTTATGTAGTAGCACACGTGTGAAATATTCATGAGAAGTAACTATTAGTTAATGCTTTTCCAGAATTGGGGAATTTTATTTTCTTTTACAGCGTGTTTTTAACAAGCAGAGACTCTGTGATTTAGTGCTTTGTACAAAGTTGCACCAGTACTGCAAAAATCGCTCTGTCCTTCTGATAAGTCAGGTAACTTGGACTGCTTCCCTTGCTGTGTTGAGGTGGAGGTAAAGCGCAAACAAACAAAAAGCCCAAAAAAAACCCAACACACTCCCCATCAAAACAACCAAAGAAAAAAAGATGACTTTTACACCAAACTCCTTTCTACAGCTACACAATTTGGTTGTCTATGAATATCAAAATTACATGGCTATGAAAATCAAAACTAGAGAGAGAGAGAGGTGAACAGAATTGTTTCTGGCATAGTTGTTAGTATAGTTCGTTGTTGAAAGGATCAGGGATAGTGACTATATTCCACCCCTCCATCTCATACTTTTTTTGTTTTAAGGAAGCCTAACTTAATACAGTAGATCCTGGTACTCCTATGATAGTGATAAACGTTAGAGTACTAATAGGCAATTGTAACTTCTGGAGAATTGTTCCGACACAAGTACCTCTAAATTTTGCATCTAGCAATGCGCTTTAATGCTCCAATTGTGGTAACCAGGGTCCTGTCTAATACTTCAGTTGTGACTAAACCTCGTAAGAGTAGTGTTCAAATTGAGCCATTCGATGTCTTAAGGAAATAACATGGAATTAGTGATTTGGTTCCCTACCACCCACCACCCCCCCTGCTCCCCTTAGTAACTGGGCTGGACTTTTAATATGGTTGACTTTTACTTACTGTCCTGTGAATAGTTGTTCTCTAGATCATATTTATAAATACTGAGACTTACTTGTTTTCTTACAGGTGCCACAAAATATACTGATAAAGATAATGGAGGGATGCTTGTATGGTCTCCATATCATAGTATTCCAGATGCCAAGTGTAAGTCATTCCTTGCTTAGGAATTTGGGTGTTTAAATATAACTGAATAATTGCTTCTGGTGTGCCTGTTTGCTCTTTATTTTACACACAGTGAAATTGCAAATTAGTAAATTAAACACAAGGCTTCTCTTTTATTTTCTTATTTAGAGAACTCCGGGGAAAGGAAAGATCACCTTCTTTTATTTTATAGTTAAGTCTTTGTTTCAAGTCACACTGCCTGTGTTGTATCATCAGTGTCTGTGAAACCTTTAGTTATTAATGAAAGGACAAAACATCTAAAGACAAGGAACTTGCTGCTCTAAATTTCCAGGAGAAGGTGTTACAGTGGATAAAATCAGAAAAGATGTGTTCAAGGGGAAATTATTATTGCTGTCTTATCAGGAAAAACTGAGCATTTTTTCCCTTCAAAAGTGACCTGAAATACAGGAGTCATCTGACTAAATGTGACCAATTATCTGTTTAATCTTGTTTAAACCTGCCTCTTATGCTGGACTTTCCCATATGTAATATAGAGGAGTAAACTTTGAGGATGCACTCATGAGAACCTGGTCCTCAGGACAATTTCTACCTATTACCAGTACTTAGAGGTTTGTGTTCCTCTACGTTTGAGGGAATATACCTTCTGCTGCCAAACAGTTAGAAATAAAATGCTCTACAACTGTGATTATTAAACACTTTCTTTATTCCTTTAAAGTACAATTAACTTTTTGCTGCAACAGTTCATGGCAAGTAAATGGCTCTCTGGTCCATTTCAATAATCAAGATATAATTATTTCCTTTTCTCGATCATGCTTACTTTCAGCCACATTTAGTTGCCACTTAATTGTGAACTGTAAAAAGTGAATGGGAAGAGGTTTTTTTCTTTAGAAATTAAAAAAATACCCATTGAAGATCAAAACTAGCAGGACTTAATGGCAAAATGATGGAAAGTGTTCAACTCAAAGCTGGCTCTAGTATGGCAAAATATGATTTAAAAAATACATTATTGGTGAATTTGACAATCTGATTATTGAATTTTCATATTCTCTATTGAAAACTGACTTCATACCACGGTTAAAATTAATATTTGTCAGTGAAAATATATCAATACTGAGGATGTGCCTAATCAATGATCTAGGGTCTCTACATTATTTTTGAACATGTTTGGGATTACAAACAGTAGAAGTAGTTCAATTTAAAACTAACCCAGGTGTCTGAACATCCCCCTCCCCGTGTGTGTGTGTGTGTTCTTAGGAGTGGGTTCCAGAAAGACACAGCCTTTCAATAACCAGCTAGTCTCTGATTTAAATAAATAAATTTTGAGCCTCTGTGGCTTTATTGTAGTAAAAATGTGAAAGAAAGCATCTTTTTCACTGAGAATTAGCTTGTGAAAACGTTTGTAAAGTTAAATATTGGATTAAAGACAGTGGGTTTATTTATTATTAATAAAGCTATGAATATATTTAGTATTTTGGGGGACCTGGGCCTATGCAGTGTATTAAAGCATGGGAAGACAGTTTTCCCATGTCAGATGGCTAATTCTGTGTCACCTTATAGCAGAACTAAAAGTACTAAAGAATAATTCTGACATTGCTTTGTTGCAGTGGATGAATATATAGCAATAGCAAAGGAAAAACATGGATACAATGTGGAACAGGTAAGTGCTATGAAATGACAGTGCTCGTTTAAAGGATTCTTTTTATATAAAAGTATAACACAACTCTTTTTTTTCCCTTGGTTGCCATTAATTAACGCTGTTTCTCTTCAGGCACGGCAGCAAACACTGCAGTTAGATGGATCTGCATACAGTTGTGGTCTGGATTCTCTGCAAAAGATTGAGCTCTTTGTTTTCATGACATGCTCAGCTTGTAATGTGCACTTTTGAAAGGTTTGGTATGTTTCTTGGTACACTGGGCATGTCATGCAATTGTGTGTGTATATTTAGCTAAAGAATTTCTTAGGAAAGCAGGTTGCAAATTTAATGTTTATAATTCAAATTTTCAAAACAACTTCTGGTATGAAATATTTGTAGGCTGTTCATAGTGGAATAGAAATTATCATCACAAGAGGTGCTTGTCACTTGCCATTCTAACAAGAAAAGAGATTTGCTATGTCCAGGTTATTAGAACATGGGAAATGAGGGGTTTGGAGAGCTGATGAACAACTGGTGATCATGTCTGCACTGTATGGTTGAAACTGAGTGGATTATATTTCCGAATTCCCATGCCAGACTTGGCATCAAGTCTGTCATTGATTCTCTGGCAGAAAGTCTAATCAGCATAAAATCCTTTGAGAATATCGAGAAATGAAATTATGTAAGAAAGTGTATTTAAATTTCCATTCCTTATTAGGTGCATATGACATCAAAGTGGCCATGCTGTTTTTTGTGGATTGGAGAGTTGTAGAAAGACCACTGTCACTTTGAACTTTCAGACTTGCATTTTGGATGATCCTCTGGCTGTTGAAAAGTATTTTTATTATTTTCTTTTTTTGAGTGGGCTGGTAATAAAGGCCTGAAGACCTCTGAGGAACTGTATAGGTGATACATGCTTGCAAAGGAAGAAAGCAGATCAGGTTTGCAGCCTAGTTTGTGCTACTTCAGAATTACTGCTGCCATGCCAACCTTAAATTGTCTAGCTTTCATCCCTTTTATAAAGTACAGATGTGCCCAGTCTCCATATTGTCTCCAAAGAGAATTTTGTAACCTATAGTACATAGCCAATGAAAGTGTAAATACAATTTGAGAAGGGGTTCTGATAGTCAATTTTTATGTTAAATAAATAAGTTGCCTTTTTTTATTTAACTTGTCTCAACGTTTTAGAAAGTTGACTAAATCCAAAAAGGGACTATTTCTTTTCAAAGGCTCTCGGCATGTTGTTCTGGCATAAACACAATATTGAGAAGTCCCTTGCGGATCTCCCTAACTTCACGCCTTTCCCTGATGAATGGACAGTTGAAGATAAAGTCCTGTTTGAACAAGCATTTAGCTTCCATGGAAAGAGCTTTCACAGGATCCAGCAGATGGTAAAGTACTATTTTCATGAGAAGCCTTAAACAGTTCGGATGCACTAAGAACAAAGGCTCCTGTCGGGCTAAAATTGCATGTTGATTTCTGTGTAAAAGCTTCAGGAACAACCTTGAATATAAGATTTAAGTTAATTTCATCATGTCTGTTGGACCTATAGGTTTGTAACTCCGATAAAAAACGCCTTTTCCCCCCTTACCCCTTTTTAAAAATGTTTAGAAAATACATCCCTTCTTTCTATCTTATCCATGCATTTGAAATACTTGGGTAAAGGTGGTTGTAAATAGAGCAGAATTATAATCTTGGGTGGAATTTTAATTTTTAAAAGTATTAATATGTTAATGAATTCTTCTAGCTTCCAGACAAGACTATTGCAAGCCTTGTAAAATATTACTATTCTTGGAAAAAAACTCGCTCTAGGACAAGTTTGATGGATCGGCAGGCTCGAAAACTAGCTAATAGAAATAATCAAGGTGACAGGTAAGTTATATATTCCTAAGTAGCTAGCCAGAGACTGAAATCTTTCTAGTTAGAGATGTCAGAGTAATTTCCAGCCGTTATGTTTCAGCGTGCACTGTGTTTTTAGGTTTGAGCATGTGTGGTGATGTCTCTGCTTTTTGCAAAGGCTTTGGTACCTGTGATTTAAGAACTATATTACTCCAGTTGGTGCGAGTTCTAATAACACACTTGAGTGCTTTAATGGATAACTGTAAAAACAAGGGTTTAAAAAAACCTAACGTCTGGGAATGTGTTTTAGAAATAATGCTTTATTTGAGATGTCTAACCCTTTATTATTGTGTGGGGAGGAGAGTGTTTTTGTGGGTGTGGGGGTTTTCTGGTTGTTTTTTGTTTGTTTGTTTGGTTTTTTTATGAACTAGAATGGAATTAAAACTGAAAGATCAACGACTGTAAAGAGCTGTAGCAAGTAGAATGCCCAAGTACTGTTTTCTAACAAAACTTTATATAAAAGTTTACTTACTTTAGGAGACTTAGAACCACTATCAAAGAGAGTTAGAGCTCAAGATAGTTTTAAATTGTCTTGGATAGAAGGGAATGATGTTTCTCCTAGTTACTGTGAAATTAAAATTATATTGCACTTAGTATACTTAAGTATTAACTTGCACTTTTAAAAAAGTGCTTTAATATGTTGAATGTATCAGTAACATAATCCATGTTTGTATGGGAAAGGGTAATTTTACATCTATGGAAAACTACCTAGCTAGAGCAAAAGGGTCTTTTCAATTATGTTATTGAAAAGAATTCCTGAAATCTAAAATTCATATCCTTACTTAGTGACCCTATAGCTGAAAAATTACAAAGTAAATCAATTTGCTTCTAATACAGCATTTTGGGGTGTTTTTGTAATAAGTAGAAATTTTTGTGTTTTCACATTCATTTATTCAGTAATTGTATTGTGTGAATGACTGGATTGGACTTGAACTAAACTGTTACCTTCTCAACTTTTTGTCTTTGATTTAACTGAGCAGATATCATTCCCCTCCCCCAAATTGCTAGATCTTGAGCACTTTGGTGAAAAAGCAGGCCAGTGTTTTTTCCATCTTATGTTGTCCCCTTTTGCTCCCCACAGACTTCATCCACCTGGTGCAGTGGTTTGAAAATTGATCTATTAAAACTAACGTGGCAAATGAAAGGTTATTTCTAGCCTTGGTATAGTTGACCGTGTAAGTGTTTGTGCTGGCACAAGTAGTTGAATTGAAGAAAGGTGACACCAAATTTTTTGGCAGCAGTACCAGCACTGCTTAAAGTAATTTTGAAACTACAGTTTAGAATTGCTTGTTTATCATAATAATTATTAGAATTTAATAAAGCATACTTTGTAACAGCTCTCTTTTGAAAACTACAAATAACTGAGATGCCGTATACTTAGAGCAGATTATTGTGTCTTATCCTGATACGTATTTATCTTTGGCATTAAAAAATAGATAAAATGACCAGCTTCTTATAATCTGTCCTCAGTGATGATGACGTAGAAGAAGCTCATCCAATGGATGGAAATGATAGCGATTATGATCCCAAAAAAGAAGCCAAAAAGGAGGTAACAGATAGCTTAATGGTGAATGTCAGTTTGTTTGTTTTCTGTGAATGTGTAACTGTGAAGGATATGACTTGTAAAGAGGTTTAGCTTGCAGCCTGCTGAAATCACAGGGAGTTTAGGTGATCATGATCTTGACAACTTCTGATTGAAACAAAATTTTATCTTATATTTTTGTTGTGCTGTGGACTTAAACACAGTTAAGTGTGTAAACGTTTGATTGTTTCCTTGAGTAACTTAATGCATTTGTGCTTTTCCTAAACTGGGACAGTTCGTGCTTCTTGAGAACGTGAGAGTAGAGGTAGTGCAAAACCTCAACATTCCAATGAAGTGGTATCTAGGATTTTTAATAAAACTTTACAGTCCTACCAAAAATGTTGAATAAGAGACTGATAGGTTTAGATTCCATTCTCAGCTTTGCGGTGACCTTCAATGTATCGCTTTAGCTACCTGCCTCAGGGAAAAAAAAAGGACAATTACAATTACCCTTTTCTGTAAAAGAGTTTGAGATTTTTATTTTTTTTAATGTGCCAGGATATTTTTTAGAACTCAGAATGGCACAAGGTCTAATAATGAACCTTTTTACTTTTCATTCTGCTGTTGCAGTAATATTCTTGCAGTCTGTTGATTTGAGTTGCTGCCTAAGCCACTTCTAAATAAGAGCTATTTTGTTCAATTTACTTTCCTTGGTTATTGTTTGAATCACTACATGCAGTCCAGAATGAAAGCAGTGTGTTCATGGGCGTCTAGGAACAGAACAAATAGGTTTGCAGTTTCTGATGAGCTATTTGGATCTACATAAGATAATTTTGTGATCTAATATTTCTAGTAGGATTTGTGTACTTTCACTTCCTAAGCAAAATATAAACTGAGTAGGCTACTTAAATGTGCAGAGCAATGGAAGCTTTCTTTTACCAGAGAAAACTAAAACAATCCAAACGCTCTAGCTTGGCAAGACAGAAGCTTGAGAGAATATTTTGACTTTAAATCCAGATTGAACAGATAGGAACTGCAATTTCGTACTGAAAGAGCAATGAAGAACAATGAAGAACCAAAAAACCCAAATAGTATAAATGGTCCAGAAGTAACCTTAACCTTGGGATTTTTAGATGTCAGAGATATAAGGCTTAATTCAGCTTTCCAAGGAAGAGCAAATATGTTAAGTGCTTTCAAGATGGCCTCTGTGAAGGCTGTAGACTGGATTAAGGTGTTCTATCAGCTGGGAAGAGGATGTGGCAGAAGGTCAAGCATAGTAGAGCAAAATACTGTTTGCTGATCTGTACTAACGCTACAGAATATAATAATAATGCTGCTGCAATTTATTCTCTCTTCACTGTGATCAGATGACCACCTCCTAATCTGCATGGGTGCCAGCAGGGAGGAGCACTAGGGAGCTGCTTGAAGTAGCAAAAAGCCTGAATTCCATCTCTGTTCTGGTACTAAGCATTGCTTTGAATTGGAAAATCCTTGCAAGGAGAGTAATTTTTGCTTCTCCACTCCTGGTCTGTAGGGGACCTACCCGGTTGCTCTATGGGAATCACGTACATGCAGACTAGTTGTGCAGCAATGTCCATTGAAGACAAAGCTGAAAATTTTAGGTGTCCAAACGTACCAAAACAGCAGTTACAAAGCCTTCATCTGGTCTTTGCTATCCCTTTCCACTTCAAAAAAGCAAGCAACAAAGGCTTAAGTTTGCTGAATTACATGGATTTTTAGAATGACTTCAAAAGTACATCCATCCTCTCAATAGCAAACAACGGTATTGCTTTCCATAGAGTGCTTGCAGCAAGGAAAAGTGTCGTCTTACATTCTTGCCTGTCCTGGTTGACTTTCTCTCATTCTTCTCCTCTGTTCTTCACCTGAACTCTTCGTATCTGACCAGAAATAACTGTGAATTCACTGATTACTTGGTTTAAACATGCAAAAAATATATGTATGTATGTGTATTCTTTACCTTCTGCATACATAAGAGGTTCTCGATTTTTGCCCTCTTACACAGTATCCAGACTGATTTCTATACCGTTTATTGCATTTGCAGCCATGTTTTAAAAAAAAGTTTTTGATAACTGACTTTGCTAAGGCTAAACAGGCTTACCCAGCAAATGACTGGTATGCTCCACCAGCTCATCTGCAAGACTTAATTTGGATACTACATGCAGAGAACCGTGTTAGCTTAGGTTTTCTATGTCATAAATATGACATTAGAATGCTATTTAATACTTTATTCTTTAATAAAGTTGTATACAAGATACTGTTATTCTTTAATGATTTATTTCTTGTAAATTAAAGGGCAATAATGAGCAGCCTGTTCAGACCAGCAAAATAGGTCTGGGTAGAAGAGAGTATCAGAGCTTGCAGCATCGCCACCATTCTCAGCGTTCCAAATGCCGTCCACCAAAAGGCATGTACCTGACCCAGGAAGATGTGATAGCTGTTTCCTGTAGTCCCAATGCAGCCAACACAATTCTTAGACAGCTGGATATGGAACTAATCTCGTTAAAGCGACAGGTACCATGGGTTATTGGTCTTGTTTTGTTTTCATCTCAGATTGTACTGATTGTAATGATTTTGAAGATTATCTGTGAAGATTCTGAAACTTCTGTAATGTGAGTCTTCCTAATTTTGTTCCACAGTTATCACCAGAAATGCTGGACATTAGCTGACTAGCTGTTCTTTGGTTTTGTTTTTTTTATGTTCATCTGCTGTTGTGGATAACATGAAACAAGATGACTTCCTTTAAAAAAAAAAAGGGCGGGTGGAGTATGGCATGAAAACAGTGTTACAGATTTGGGGACAGGAGAAAACTAAAGTCACACCTCATTTCTTCATTTGACTTTTTTTTTTTTACTTTGTTAAAAGTACTTGTGTGACAAGTGAGAATAAGACCAATGAAGCAGAAGTTACATTTGTTATGCTTAAAATTGTAGCTGTTTTTCTGGATGTCCTTCCCCACATGTCATGAACATATGGGAAGGGGAAATCACAGGCCTAGTTATTTCTCTGTTTGAATTTATGAGTTTTCTACTTCTTAGTAAATTTAGAAAAGTCTTCACCTTTAAGAGGACAATTGCTTGCGTCCTTTGCATGGAGAAGTTAACTTCTAGCACTTAAAGTTGAAACACAGAATCTATTCAGCCTCTAAGGGTACAGCAGTATGTGCATGCTTACTTTCTAGGAATGATGGGGCTACAAAGTCAAAGCTTATCTCCTGGAATTTCTGCTTCCTTATAGACTGCTAAGAGCTGCCATGTTGCAAAATCATGGAGTGAATAAAGGGTTTCATGGAGTTTTTGCTCCCTTGTATTCTTTTACAGGAGAAATATTCTTCTTTCTGTCACAGCAGGACTCTGGGGCTAAATAGCATAGGTGGGTTTCACTCTTTAGCCTAAGTGTAGGTGAGTTACAGCCTTGAGGTTGTGTTTCTCTTTTTTTCTTGCAGTGATCTCAGAGATGCAGCCTTTGGAATCTCCCACTGAGTTGTCTGCTTTTGTGTCCATACTTAAGAACACTTGTAATAGCTGTACACCGTAGTATGCAAAACTATTTTCTTACCTATGTTACCTTATGTGCATTGCTGTTGGGTTTAAATGGTTAATAGATATGTGTTCGTACGGTTTGGAAGCTCTCCTTTTTATAGACTAGATAATTTATTTAAATATTTTAAATCAATTCAAGAATCACCCTTAAAGGAAATCACGATGATCTAAAGGTCAATAAAAAGCAGTCTGTCAGAAGGAACTAACTGGAAACATATCATAATTTTTTTTTAAAGTGCTTTTTGGAGAAGGAAGAAGTTAATGTACACAGTACATCTCACTTAAATTTCTGAGAACCAAGTTTTGTGTCGAGAATATTCTGCATTCTTCTTCAAGAACATATACATCATTATCAAAACTTGCTTGTGATGTCCTACTTTTAATATTCCTGCAGACAAACTGTTCTTTTGAAAGATTGGCTTAAATATCTTTCTCTCCGTAGTAAACTGTGCTGTATTTTTTAATTATTTTTTTTTAAAACAGTTAAAAGTAGTGAAGCCTTAAACCATAATATTTCTCTTTCTAACTTAGGAGGTACACTTGTGGCAATCCTAGTGAAGATATATGTGTAAAGTGACCAACTTTCTTTGTGGAGCTGATTAACTTTGTTGTTTTTGACCAAGGTTCAAAATGCTAAGCAAGTAAACAGTGCACTTAAACAGAAAATGGAAGGCGGGATTGAAGAATTCAAACCTCCTGAGGTAAATCAGAATAAATATTAGAACTTGTGGCCTTGCACTTACATTAGTGGGAAGCTACAGAAATGTGTTTTGCTGCAGCATAGTGTTTGCATTTCAGTAGCAGCTTAAACAGGATCCATTGAATTATATGCAGGGGTGAGTCTGGCTTCTTTACAAGAAGTTAGTGGTGGGCTTTTTTTGTGGCAACTGGCTGAATAAAGAAGCAGAAAAAACTGAAATGTCGTGTCTGTTCATGAAAATAGGGAGCTGAAATTGAGCCCTGATGGGATTTTTTTTTTTTGCTGATTAAAAGTAGATAATGTAGATTGCTAGCAATTCTATGTTCTGTGTGAAAAAACAACTATATATACCTATGGGCATCCAAAGTGAATTATTTATGACCACTGAAGTTCTCTTTTTGCTTGTTTTAAAAGCTTGGATGTGAAACATAATGTGAATGCAAAACACTCCGGACACCAAATCCTAATAGTTTAGATAACTGTAACAGTGAATTCAAATTCTGTTTGCATAAAGATCATTAGCTTGTGCATAAGTTATGATATAGCTGATGCTAAGAACTGCAGTAAAACGGAGGAAAAACTCTCTTCATGAAAGCAATCTTAAACTGTACATTTATGGCTTATGACCAAGAGATTTTTACCTGTGTTACAAAATGTAGTGCAAGTAAAATGCATTCTGATGCTCAGATATTTTGCAGCCGTTGAAACATTTTAATGATCTTTGTGCCATTTTTCTAATTTTAATAGTCTAATCAGAAAATCAATGCCCGTTGGACCACAGAAGAGCAGCTTCTTGCAGTACAAGGTATGTTAATAGTAGTAGCGACCTGAAATCTGGTGCAAAGGATTTGAAGAGGTACTTAGGCTTATGTCTATTTCCTTCTAATGAAAAGATGAACTCTGTCTGGTCTTACAAGAAAGTCACTAGGAAAACAGCAAAACTAGTGAGAATATTTAGGGCATTCATTCAAGCAACATGACACTAGTCTGTCAGTTACCCATATTAAATCTCGAATAGAAACGCTGAGCTGGGTTTAACAACTGTAGTAGTACCAAAAAGTCCCTTCAATCACCTTCTAAATCACCTTACACGAATTTCTCTAAAGTGAAAGACCTAAGTAATAGTTGAAGTAATAAAATTTGAAGCAAACATTTATTAAGGCATCTCTTCATATTCTTAAGGTAGGAAAAAGCAGAAATGAAACTGCTTTACAGTTAATTTTCTCTGCTCCTGAGGGAATAAAAGAGCAGGTGTCTACCCAGTGGAGGCCTTTTAAGAGTCTCAATCTGGATATGGATACTTGACTAAGTGTCTTATTGGAGAAAACCCAACATTTTCTAGTAGGCTATTCATACAGTTGATTTGCAGTTATTTCATTTATATGAAGTAACACTGACTCTTATCTTGCTTTAACGTGCACTGCCTAGTCAAGGAACATGCAAGGGAAATATTTGGAGAGCCCAGTGCTCTCTTGAAGACACTATATATTGACTCACTTCTATGGATCATCTTTTTTAAGATGATAAATCAGCGGAGTTATACACATCTGCTTTATTTCTCTGTATTCTTCACCTTTAAAATGAAAGACTGGATTTTAGTATACTACCTTCAGGATATCAGAGTAAAGTTGTCAGCTGTGCCATACCTGGTAGTTAGTAGCCAGATGGCTGTACCTAAAATTAGGTTTATTTTGGAGAGTGAATGGAAATGCTGAAGAGCATGGTATGTTTGAAGTCATGCCTCTCAACTTACATGACTCAGAGTGGGATTTGCATCTCCAAACTATTTTCTATCCTAAGTTCATCCTCTCAGTACTGCTAACAAGCTCACATTTTTTTATTTTTGTCCCAAATGCAACTGAAGGAGATGCCTATCTTTAATACAATAGTCTAGTAAGTAGAATGCTTGCTGGAGAAGTGGGGAAAATCCAGGTTTGTTGTGCCTGCCTTAGCATGAAAGGATTCAAACCATCTTGTATTTTCATGGTTTAGTTATCAGAGCTGTCACTAAGCATCAGTTTGGGAAAGCGATAAAAATACATTTGGCTTTTGTTAAACTATGGCACTACGTGACCAACAAGCAAAATGGGCAAAAGAGAATGAGGGTTGGTGATGACTCCCTGGAGAGGAGTTCTAGTCTTCTGGTCTCTTCTCTGGGGATTATTTCGTGGTTTATGAAGGTAGTTAGCCTCAGTGCTTAAGGGTGGGGTGAGAAATCAGGCCTTCTGGAAGAAACCTGTTTTCATTGAATTTACGTGTGCTTCTTATATGTATTGTTTCCTTTTTAGTCCCCTTCCTTTGCAACTGTATAAAATGGAGATGGGAGAGAACCTTAACACCAGGAACAAAGTATTCTTATTATCCCTCCCTTATCTACTGCCTGGTAGTAGAGTCTCCCTCCTGGAATGAGAGTGCTGTAGGTATTAACCTCCTGTCCCCCAGTCTAAGGACCCTGATCTCTTGCTTCAAAATAATTGCTTGAGCTAGTAGACTTACGCATGCAGGAGCCACGCTGTCTTTTGCCCTGACTGTTTTTAGAAGAAAGTAGTCATGGTTGCTGTACTAAAAGCTACCATAATGCTTGTTAAGCTTGAACTTAGAAGTTGACTTGAGCATGGGGACGTTTAGTTTGTACATTTAAAATAGATTTATTTCATCAAATGTATTGATATATTTTGGCATGCGCTTTTAACAATTTTACAGAAATCATAAGCGTTAACCAGGTAGGTGGCACTTCTGTGATTTGTTCACTTGAATTCAGACATGAAATCCAACCATGGAAATCGCAAAAATAATCTGCAGTAATATAATTTTGGTACTGTTTTTCCTAAACTTGAAAAAACTCACGTCAATTGTGGGCTGATCTCAAGAGATTGGCAGTAACTAAAGAGGAGGTAGTGCAAAAAACGATCTTAAATAGAGCTGAGTGTGTAAATCTTAAAAGCAGTGTGGCTGCCTGCAATGGGCTCATGGCTCAGACTTATGATCTCTGAGCCAATCTTTTGCAGTATAATTTATCAGGTTACTGTTCAACTCTGTCTGAATAGTATGGCGGCCAGTTCATCACTTCAGTTGTTCTTAAGTTACAAACTTCATTTCTGTATAGGAATGTGTGAGCACCATCATCTTTTCAAACTAAGATCTCAGCCGTATGAAAATTACAATTGGAAAAAAATGTTTTAAGACTTGTTCAAAACAACAAAATTTGAATGGGAAAGTGATGCGTGACTTTCATAGCATTGCAGTGGAAAACACTTGGGACGACTGGGATCTAACTCTACAGAAGGTAGTTGCCAGGAGCACTGTGTAATCCCATCACAGTGAAACTGCAGCCTTCATAACCCAGAGGTTGCCTTTAACTATTTCTGCCTCGTCGTGGTGGTGTATTATATTGCTGTGGACGCAGCCTAGCATTTTGGGTGTCTCCCAGTGTTTGCTGTGCTGCGCAACATTAAGCAGCGTAGACAGCATCAAACTTGGATTTACGCGTTTCTCTGAGTTAGACGTTCAAGATGAAACGTTGTAATAGCGAGCACGCACGTGTTCAAGTGTGCCTTTGCTACTGGGTGAAGTTCTGAAGAGTTTGAAGGATTCCCATGGTCAGGGCTGCTTTCCAATGAGCCAGGAGAAAGACATACATGTGAAGTAAGGCTATGTGGTAATCTCTTTTGAGCTTCACTTTCAGCAATCTAATGAAATTATTCTTATTGAATAACAGATTAAACACTTTAGAAATAACTTGGGTGGGTTTTAGCACAGAATTTGTATAAGGATGTGTAAGTAATGTGCACCAATTTGAAAGGGATGGTGTGTTGGCGTCAACTCGTATAGATATGCCAGCATCTTATGCGTAAAACTTTCATAAACAGGTATTGAACTTCCCCTGTTTTTGATACAGCTCTAAAGGATTTTGCTACATCATTGTGTAGCAGTCATTGTGATGCTAGAGCAGTACTAAATAACACACTGAAAAGAATCCAAAATGACTAGTGTTGTGTGTAGCTAAACTAAGGAAATTTTATTTTCTTTATATATTTCTTAGAGTTGGGCTCTCTGTGAAGGCAAGATACCCTATTTTCAAGCTGTTTGCTTGGAAATAGACTTTAAAACCTTATTTTTGACAACTTTAGGCTCAGTCATTTTGCAGATTATGGGGAAGGGAGAAGTATAGACAGCAGCATAGTAACAGAAAAGGCTGAAATCACTAAAAGTCTGAGTTAGGTTTCAAACAAAAATGTGCTTTGTTCTGCTGGGCACTTTGTTCCCTTGATTAATTGTACAGGATGTTAGATATGTTGCAGTGGATGTTTAATGATCATTATAAATTAGTAAGGGTGGCAACTGTAGGGCAATCAAAGAATCTTAAAAGACTGGAGGGAGTGCTCTGTCGGAACACACAGCTTTTAAGGAGTGTAGCTGATACCTTGTACAACTGATAAAGCACAGAGCCAAATCCCTGTCTTTGCTTTGCCTAGACACATGCCCTCCCACGTGGCTCTGCTAGGTCTCTTTGTTTTCTTTCCAAGGTTCTTGCGGTCAGGATGGTTGGATTCTTTTGTATGCCTCAGAGAAGATCTTAAATAATGTAGCTGAGCTCTTGACAGTTGAAACATCAGCTTCAGCTACAGAAATTGTTACTATCCTAGAGCTGAACTTTTCTCTTAAATTGCAGTGAGTGTACATTACCACATCAGAAGTGCCTTTTAACGAAGAAAGTAGAAAAGAGCAGAACAAGCTGAAGGTCATACTCTTCACAGTTAAGTTGGAAAGGAGCGTAGCTTTCAGATTTGAAACAACTCTCACTTTCTGAATCCTTGGCTTTACTTTCTGAAGTGAGGCATGAAATCAGGCATAAATTTCTTTTCCTGTAATGAGAGAGAGTGCCTGTCCTCTAAGCACTGTAATATGTTCTGAATGAGTTTAGTTATCAGGAGCTTCACAGAAGAAGTCAAACTGTAATTCACTCATGCATAGCTAAGAGCAAAAAATGAGTCTTCTGTTTACTTTGTCTAGAATAAAACTCTGGTTTATTTCTTTTAGTCTCCAAACTTTTGGACACTTGTGATGAAAAATATACTTTGTGCAGCTGAAAGCTGTGTTCTAGAAGGCTGGAGAGTTTGAGGATTTTTTTCTTAAGCAGGAGAGAGGAGGAACTAGATATACACCCTAAATACGACTGAAAGAAAATCAATAAACTTTACGTTGTAATTCCAATTTTAGGTTAAAAAACATAAAATGTTGTGCTTAAGTTGGGGGTTCTTTTGTGTTGTATGCAAATACAGTTTTAGGCCTTAAAAAGCAGATTTGGGGATATTCTTGTGAAGCGCTTGTGAACAAAAGTAACCTATGATGTCAGTATGAAAATGAATTAAAAGAATGATGCAAAGATCTTCTGTCATGCTGCTTCTTGCTGTAGGATTTGATCCTGGAGGCTTGTACTGGGCTGTCTTATAGACACAAATAGCTTGTATTTACTTACATTCCCCAAGATGGTTGTCCCAAAACCCCAGATTCTTCCACCCAGCTCAAATGGAGAATTAAAGCTTTAAAAAGACTTTGTCAGGTGAATGCTTGCCAGTTGCTCTTTGAGGCCTCGGTAGAGCATGTTACAAGTGCAGGAATGAGCAGTACATCGTGGCTTGTGGAACTGTGGCCCCCTGCTCTGCCCTGTGCTTGGTCCAGTAGTGACCGCCTTCTGCCACTCCAGCTGCACGGGTTGTGGGCAAAGGACGCAGCAGGCATGGAGGGAACCTACAGAGGCTGTCAATGTTTGTCACTTGAAATTTCTGCTGTTATGCCTTGTTTACAGCTATACACACATGCTCGGTCCCCCTCCCTCTCCCATCTTGAACTTGTCTTGGGCTCTGCCCTTACTGCAAGCACACTGAAGGATTTACTTTATTTGTCAGAGGCCAGATCTTTGTGGTTTTAGGTTGGGAGGCTTGGTGAGTAAGCCAGGATCTTCAAGAGGAGGGGGTAATGACCTTTTAATAAAGTTCTTGATTTGTATATTGATAGCTGTGCAATTAAAAATTATTTTGTTTTAATGGAAATTGAGGCCTTCTCCTAATTGAGAAGTCCTCCTAATTAGTGAGTCCTTGGTTTGCAGGTCCCATAGGTTCTCTCTATGAATACATCACACGTAGCTGTGTCTGACTGATTCTTCACAGCTATGTTATTTACTTTGCCTTCCAGGTGTCCGAAAATATGGTAAAGATTTTCAAGCTATTGCAGATGTAATTGGCAACAAGACTGTTGGCCAAGTGAAGAACTTCTTTGTAAACTACAGGCGTCGGTTTAACTTAGAGGAGGTATTGCAGGAATGGGAAGCGGAACAAGGAACCCTGGCTTCTAATGGTGATGCTTCTGCTTTAGGGGAGGACACAAAAAATACTTCTAATGTGCCATCAGGAAAGAGCACTGATGAAGAAGATGAGGTGTGTTTTGTGTACCAGAAATAAGTAAGCATGGGTTGAGGAACAGCATTTTATTTAGTGATATAATGTAAGGTTAACTGGTGTGGAGTGGCAAACCGCATTCTAAAGAATGATGACGAGCTTGCATAGAACTTCAGCCAATGTCGTTAACCAGCGGGAGCAGGACTGCACCTTTCATAGTGACAATCACGTTACTGTTTTATTGTTAAAATACAGTTCTTGTTCTAGAAGAAGACTCTTGCTTCGTAAATATTTTTAGTTCTGCTGTCTATAATGTTTTGGTTGGTGATTTCTTTTCAGTAACTTCTCAGTTTTTTGGTTTTGTTTTTTAAATGCTGTTTCCTGTGTAGTGGACAGTGGCAGCCCAACTGCATCGCGTTCTGGCTGGGATGGCTGTTCACGCGGTCTTGTCTTTGTCCTTTGTGCAGGCACAAAGCACTCCGGCCACTCAGTGTTTAGGCCCTTCACCTCCAGCACAGGCATCTGCTCCAGCACCTACCGCTCCCATGGCAACTTTAAATCAGCCGCCCCCGTTACTTCGTCCAGCGCTTCCTGCTGCTCCCGCTCTCCATCGTCAGCCTCCACCGCTCCAACAGCAGGCGCGATTTATTCAGCCAAGGCCGACTCTAAATCAGCCTCCCCCGCCGCTCATCCGCCCAGCTAATTCCATGCCTCCTCGCCTAAACCCAAGGCCAGTGCTAACCACGGTTAGCGGCCAGCAGCCACCCTCGCTTATTGGAATTCAGACAGAATCTCAGTCCACTCTGCACTGAAGAAATAAAGCAGAATTATGCTAACTCCTACATTTGAAAAATTGTATCAATGTACTTTTTTTTTTCCAAATAATGAAGGGGAGAAAAGAGCAAGCCTTCGCAGGTATCAGACCGGTTTTACAGAGGAGCAAGCTAATAACCGAACCATGTGAATGACCACCTGTATAAAAATATTTTTATGTCGAAGACTTGTACAGCAGATCAATGCCTACAATACAGCCCTCCTCTACATGAATAACTGTTGAAGGAAGCTAACTTCTTAAATGAATAAATGTTCAACACACCAAGGTTTTGTTTAACTGATTTTTACTCTATTTATTTTATTACAGTTCTTTGTAGTCAAGCATCTAACTACATGAAAGTAGTCTGGCAAATCTAGGAATAGATAATATTGTAGCGTTGGGGTTTCTTGTGTGTGTGAATTTTATTTTATTTTTTTTACCTTTTAGTGCAAAAAAGATAATGGCCTTAGGTTCAGAATTTTTGGCCCTGTTTAGATAACAGTAGAAGCATTTCATGCACTTGTAAAATGTAGGTGTTTCTTCTCTTCATGTTTTTCCCAGAACACTTTTTCTTGTTTAAAAAGGTACTGTCTTATTAAATACTCCTCTGAAGGAGTATTCTGAAGACTCAATGAGCTATTGTACCAAACTTACTAAATCTCATGAGTGTTCTCCTCATAGAAGCTAACTGAAAACAGGAGTCCAGTTTTCTGCTGCAATATCTCTTGTGGGCTGGGGTGGAGAGGCAGCAACTGCCACCACCCAAAGGGGTGACAGAGGAGGAAGCACATAGCAAGAACCATTAATTTAATTTGTTACTCCACTAATTCTTCTAATTTAAGTACAATAGAATTTAATTCCTCTGAAAATCGTAGAATCGTAGAATGGTTTGGGTTGGAAGGGACCTTAAAGGTCATGTAGTTCCAAGCCCCCTGCTGTGGTCAGGGACACCTTCCACTAGATCAGGTTGCTCAAAGCCCCACCCTATTTAGTGGAAGGTGTCCCTTCCCAAGGCAGGGGGGTTGGAACTAGAATGGCCGACTGCAGTTTGTGTGTGTTAGATCATTGATATCTTGCCTGAGAATTCATGAGGGAAGTATAGAGGCTGATGGTGGTAGTAGACTATTGTGGCAATACAGTTATCTGCTGCAAGCCCAGTCTTACTATTAAATTATTATCTCTGATTTCTGCTATTTCTGGCAGAGTTGATTATAACCGAGTTGAGGCTATTGTGGGGGGGTTTTGTTTGCTTTGTTTCATTGACTAAATAAAATCTGCATTTGGGTATTAATTATTGCTCCCAAATTTTAGGAGACCGAAAGGTTTTCTTTCCACTGCATTCTTGTCAGAAACCTTGATCTATGCCCAGCAGGTTTTGGGGGTGTGTTTTTTTCAGTTGTGTTTTGGTTTTTTTCGAAGTAGGTGCCTCTACCCTCCAAGTAAACCAGGCTGTAAATTTGGGTAGCACTGTTTGAAACTGATCTGAATCAAGCTGTTGAAAAATATGGCATTCTTAAGTAATAACGTTCATGTTGGCTGCCATACTATTTAGAAAATTATTTTTGCTTATAGCTGAAATGGTGTTTGAAAATCCTTTAAAATCCATTCTGTTATTAGCTAGATTTGCCCTTGACTAAAATGAGACGTTATTTGCAAATGGAATGTGCTCTCCCTAGGCTTTTTCGCAGATAAATTGGATGGTCTAACGATCAGTTCAGCAGCTGGCTATGGTCTTTTTTATGTGCAAAGGGAAGTTTTTACGGCATCAGAGCCTATGTCATTTGTAAATCTAGTATTAAAGTTTGATAGTTGTGGCCTGAATTGCAGTTAAGGTGTTGACCTTTCTGGTTTAGTTCTTCATTTAAAAATATTTTCAAATCAAACTTGAGAGATTTTTCTTCCCAAACAGCTTTCACTGGTGTGATGAGGTCTCATACAAGAGCGCCTTCTTACAAATTTTCTTTTGCATCAGCGTAGATGCTTAGCTGCTACGTGAGCATCAGATGATCTCTTGCCTAAGAAAAGCAGCATTGTAAAACAAGAACCGAGGAATTCATCATCACTGAAACTTGTGTTCTGGGAGTCATAAGTGTCCCTTCACCAGCTACACACAAATCTGGCTGCTCTCCAGACTTGTAAAACCAACACAAAACCAATCTGATAGATTTTGACATCCAAAGTATCTCAGTTTAATTGTTAACAGTGATAAGATACATCTTCAGGATTTCTTTTTTTTTCTTCTTTCTTTTTTAGCATTGAGTCTCCCAGGTGTGTGTATCGTACCTTTGCTAATTTTTGTCTTGTCTCTCGTCGATAGACTTCAGTATGCAGAATGTTGGGTGTTGCAGTACAGTTGGCCACCACCAACTGCTATAAAACTGTTCAGTACATTGTAATTCCGTTTAATCTTGTTTAAATATTCTATAACTGGGCAAAGGTGCTGTATTTGAAGGGGGGGAGGGAGGGTCAGAGATAGGTAGTATTTTTTAATTTACATACCCTGTAGCACACAGTAGGGAACTCCTAGCATTTGTAGTACTAAATAAGTATGTACATAGCAAAATGTCTTTATTGTGTGCTTTGCAGAATATGTGCATACAGTTTGCACGTCCTGTTTTGGGGGTAGGGTTTGTTTTAAGCAGTGTTTGCCTGGAGAGTGATATGCTTGCTGCTTAATCAAAGGATTAAAGTTTCAAAGAAATCTGTGTCTTCTATTTTTATGTACCTTGTAATGGTCTAATATGTTAGGGCCCTTATACTGTGATTCTCTTCTAAATTCATTTATATTTTTTTAAGAATTAGAAATAAAATTATACAATGGTGTTGATTTCAGTGGGGAATTTCTTTTGCCATATCTGGTCTCCTGTTTTATAATGTAGTAATGAACGTTGACTTCAAGGTTGGCTTAATTTTGTCACTTTAAAAAATGTAAAATGTTTGCACACTAAAGTTTGGCAGAGAACATGTATCCTACATTGTTCAAAGCTAATGTAACTCTACAGCTTTTTGTACAGTTTATTTTAGTTAATAAAGCAAAACGGTACTAAAAAAATGACAGATTTTACAAATGCAAGGCATAGTCTGAATGACATGTCTTCTAGGAGCAACACTTGCAAAATACGGATGTACAAGAACTATCAGATTTAATTGTTGCACTTTAAATCAGAATGGGTATGAAGTTAAGCAGGTATTTCTGCATTAATAAAACAATCACTAAACATTGCACATCATAGTAAAGCAGTTTAATTTGTCCTACAGTTGATCACGAGCAAAAGGAATTATAGTTACCTCTGCCCTTAGGTTTTTATTCATCTTTATATTGTTGGGATCTTTCTCAAATCGTACAGTGTTTATTCTGGAACCCTCGCAGTTCGTGGAAAACAGAACAAACGAGTAGCTTATGGATGTGTGAATTTGTGTATGAATAGAGCAGAACTGCGGAGTTTAGGGAAGAGTTTAGGATGAAGGTTACTAGAACCATGTTGTGTCTCTTGCTAGCAAAAGAAAGGAATGGACTGAAGTTACAGCTGATGCAGGGCAGAAATGTGGTTGTCAGGCAAAAGCAAAGACAAACATCTTGAAATTGTTTCCTTAGAGGTGTGTTTCAAACTGCAAAGGAAGCCGTACAGGAGTTAGCAGCTGTCACAGCTCCCGTGCAAAATGGTGCACTGTAAATTGCGCTGAGTACAGCTCAGTAGTTTTAATAAATGTGGTGAACCTCCAGCTTTTCCTGAGGTTGAAATAGCTAAACCTCAGCATTTGCTTTTCGCTGAGAGAGTTAAAAGCAGGGACCATCATGATAGACATCTGCGTTAAGATCACAGGAAGTTGTGTCTGAGATATAAAAGGCAAACATGAACTCTTTAACACCACTTACAGTCTGTTGCTGATCAGTTAGGCAACAAAAACCTATAGTCAGGTAGGGAGGAGAGGCAAAATACACTGGCAACACCATCTGGACTATTTAATAAGCAACTGGCCCATTTTTTATAACAGACATCCTTAAAATTGACATTAAAGTGCAACTTTAGAAAAAAAATTTGCTTCATTTTCGCTACCAGTGAAGGCTGCTACTTTGCAGTTGTGTCAAATATTTTTTAATCTTAAAAGCTCTTTTTCGGTGTAGTTTTGTACACTGAAATAATTATCGCAGCAAAATAAATCCTCATTGCTATTCCTGACTTTGAAGTTTTCCCTTAGACTGGCACGAGATTCAGGGACTGTGATCTCTACTGCTACTCCAGGGATATGACTTTGTCTCTACGCAAACCAGGCCTCCTGCTATGCTCCCTGAATCTTAAGAGCTGTGATTTTAAAAGTAACGCCCGCACCCTGATATTCAATGATCCTTTTGACAGATCTTTGTCACCATAGAGCTCTGTTCTGGGGAGCTAGAGCGTTCTGCAGTGGGAGGATCATGAGTGCAGCAAACATCTGTCTTGGGAACTCGATCCCATCTCCAAAGGAACTATTAATTTATGTTTATAAATATTTACTTACAGAAACATAATGCCTGGTGTCCTGATGGATGTTCCTGTGAACTTTCCAGACAAATATTACCCGGACTAATCAGGATATTCCTAAAGCTGAGAAAAAAAAGGCCTCAAATTTTTGCAAGAGGGAGTGTTTCTAAAGGTCTATGTTGTAGTCATGGCCCTTACACCTTTGCTGGACGCCCAGTATCAGTGCAATATGGCCTGACACCTTTGGGAGTGGCAAGTCTGAGTCATTGTAACAAAAGCAGCAGATTTCTGAAACCATTGTGTCACTATTATTTTTAGTGCTCATCTGATCAAGATGATCCAAATAACACAGTCCAGTGGGTTTTTTCCGACTATTTCTCTTTCCTCAGCCTTGGTGCTTTTGTGCAAGTGCTAGTATGGTATTTTCCTTAGCGACTGGTTTTCCTAGAACTGGTTTAAGGTGAGAGACAGAACAAATTGTAGCAGTAGGTGATGGGGAGTGAGCGGTAGAACAATTGCATCAGTACTGTCGGCTGGAGGATGGCTGTGTTGTCTGCATTAGTAAAAAATCCCTTGGTATGTCTTGAGGAATTAGCAAACAATAGCGGCATGTGGTAATAGCTAATGTCTGTGTGCTTTGCGTATTTAGCATGGGTTTTGTTTTGCTATTTCAGTACCGCAGGTGTAAATAATAATAATAAAAAAAA